GACTTTATTCAACAATTCGTCTCCTCCACGTCACCCTATAGCACCATTTTGGAGAGTATCACATGCAACGTATGTACGCGGATACGTTGTTTACGTTCAGATCAAAGTGAAAACAACATAAACAGTGTATCTGCGTACGGTGGTGCTGACACAGAACAGCACACGTTGTTTACGTATGTGATACTCTCCAAAATGGCGCTATAGTGTGACGCGGAGGAGATGAATTGTTGAATAAAGTCGTTATTTTTGTTTTCTTTGCACACAAAAAGTATTCTCTTAGCTTCGTAAAATTACGGTTGAACCACTGATGTCACATGGATTATTTTATCGATCTCCTTGCTACATTTCTGAGCCTTGATCATGTAAAGATCCTTGCTGTGTTTGGGAGGGTCAGAGAGCGCTCGGAATGCATAAAAAATATCTTAATTTGTGTTCCGAAGATGAACGAAGGTCTTACAGGTTTGGAACGACATGAGGGTGAGTAATTAATGACAGAATTTTCATTTTTGGGAGAACTATCCCTTTAAATGACTCATATGAAATGCTTTTCATGGGCATCATTTACTTGAGCAACGCTAACTGTTAACCTTTTCAGTAGCTGACTTGTTCAAATTTATGATTTTCCATCTGGCAGGCAATAAAACAAACAATAAAAAAAATCCTTCAGACTTGTACACTACTGTTCAAAAGTTTGGGGCTGGTTAGATTTTTTCATGCTATTGAAAGAAGTCTCTTATGCTCACCAAGACTGCATTTAATTGATTAAAAACAGAGAAAAAAAATGTAATATTTTTAAATATTTTTAAAATTGAAAACAAGTGCTTTCTATTTTACTTTATTTTAAACAAGTAATTTATTCCTGACAAAGCTGAATTTTTAGCAGCCATTACTCCAGTCTTCAGTGTCACATGATCCTTCAGAAATCATTTTAATATGCTGATTGGTGCACAAGAAACTTTTCTTTGTATTATTAATAAATGTACTTTTAGTATCATTGAGATAAACTCATTATTTCAGTTTTAGTTATTTTAGTTAAAATTAAACTACATTAAAATGAAAAACGTTGTTTTAGCAATTGAAATCAAAATAATAATAATTACTTTTTTATAGTAATATAATAATAATAATAATAACACATTTTTATTATACAATTAATTTGAGTTAACTATAATAACCCGGTTGACAATGTTGAAAACAGCTGTGCTGCTTAACGCTTTTGTGGAAACCATTATTTGTTTTTCAGGATTCTTTGTTTAATAGAATATAAGGTAACACTTTATTTTAAGGTTTCCTTGTTACACGTTACATGTACTTACTATCATAATAACAATAAATTATGCATGATTACATACAAGTAACCCTAAACCTAATCCTAACCATATAGTAAGTAGTAAGTACATGTAGTTAATTAATATTACTCAGAACTTAAATGTATAATTACACTGTAACAAGGACACCTTAAAATAAAGTGTAACCAAATATATTAACTAATTAAAAAAGCATTAAAAATATTTTCAAAAATCTTAACGCCAACCAGAAAATCATAAGAGACATGGAATTTGACTCCTTTGTGTTGGAATGGTATACAACCACCTAGTAACCACCCTGGCAACCACCTACCAATGCCCTAGCAACAAATTAAAACATATCAGAAACCATAAAGCAACACTACAGCAACCATTCAAATAATCAAAGCTCTATGATGGCCAGTTTGCAGCTTAATGTTTGGAAAGCTTTCATATTAGGAGTGACTATTACACCGAAAATGTGGCCTAAATAGAAAGCTCACTAAGATTTCACTTTTAATAGAAGTTTTTTTATGTATCTGTGCATCTCATCAACTCCTTTTTTATATCATAAGAGTGTCCACTGCAATAAGGAAGCGCAGGTTCTCACCTGTTGGGCTGGTCAAATTGCACAGAGGTTTTACCCTGCTGACTCTGAGACTTTAGTTTGCTGTGAGGTTGTGTAGCAGTAGTGGTGCTTTCAGTGCAGTCAGTAGTAGCAGTAGTGGCTGAGGTCTTTGTAGTGTTGGCATCCGAGGAGCTGTCAGTTTCTGTGACCCCTCGTATATCCAAATACTGTCCATTGTCTAGGGGGGGTTTACCACATGGAGTGTCTTCTTTAGACTGAGTCGACTTCACTGCAGATGTGGGTTCTGATGAAACATTCCTCTGAAGCACCTGGATATCACTACACACACACACAAAGTACATATATTACATTTAGTGATGTGCAAAATCCATGCAAAATGCACTAAAATGCTGAAATGCAAGTATAGAAGTGAATATACAGTAGTGTTGTAGCAAACAGATGGAACAGTGAAGAAAGAGACAGAAGATAAAGTATGAATTAAAACAAAACTAGTTTTAAAAAAAGATATGTAGAGCTCATCTCTTGCTAGGAAACGTAAATGCCATGCTGAAAAATGTCAGAGAGCAGAAGGTCATAATGATGAGAGTCTATTGAGCTGGAGGGGGAGGAGGACAGTTTCTAGAGCGCTTGAAAACACAGCATTAGACTACTGGAGTCATAAAAGACACTGGGTGGGTATATAAATAATATACACACAAATTGAAAATACCAGTAGTTTCACAATATATATTTCACTAATTTCAAAAGTTTGGGGTCAATAAGATTTTTAAAAAAAATAATTTTTTATGATTATTTTATTTAGCAAGGATGCTGGTAATTGATCAAAATTGACAGTTTATAATATTTATAATTTTACAATAAAATTCTATTTAAAATAAATGCTGTTTTTTAACTTTTTATTTATTGAAGAATTCTAAAATGTCTATAAACACACACACGCGCATATATATATATATATATATATATATATGCAGTACATTCATTCTTTAAGCACCACATCAGCATATTAGTATGATTTCTGATAGATCATGTGACACTAAAGACTGAAGTAATGATGTTGAAAATTCTGCTTGGCCATCACAGAAATTATTAACATTTAAAAAATATATTAAAATACATAATTTTAAATTGTAATAATATTTAAATATTACGATTTTACTGTAATTTTGAGCAAATAAACTCGCATTGGTGATGACCATCCCCAAATTTCTGAACAGTAGTGTGGTTTGTGTGGTTGACGCATTCAATAATAATTACAATTAATCCACAACGCGGCAGCAAGATTAATTTTTAATGAGCCGAAAAGAATGCACGTCACACCTCTGTTTATGAATTTGCACTGACTACCAATAGCTGCTCGCATAAAATTCAAGGCATTAATGTTTGCCTACAAAACCACCACTGGCACTGTACCCCTTTACCTAAATTCATTACTTCAGAGTTATGCGCCCTCTAGAAACTTGCATTCTGCAAGTGAACGTCGCTTTATTGTGCCATCCCAAAGAGGCACAAAACTCTAGCACTCTCTATTCTAATTCTATTCTTTAAAAAAAAAAAAAACTAGCTTTTTGTATTCTATTTGTTTTCTTTTTATTTATTATACAATTAACAAAAGCATAAAAGGCCTCTAACACTAGCTTGCTCTATTCTTTTTCTATTTTCTTTTTATTTATTATATAATTTTAAAAAGACCTTGCTACGTGTACTGCGTTAGGCTAACTGAGACTTGTTATAGCACTTGCATATCATTGCTTTTTTGTTGATTTTGATTGCTTCCATTGTCCTCATTTGTAAGTTGCTTTGGATAAAAACGTCTGCTAAATGACTAAATGTAAATAATAATAATAATAATAATAATAAAATCCTATAACACATATACGCTTTGACAATTAAAAAACGATTTTAGTTTTAAATAACTAAATATGGTATTGTTATTATATGGTATAATATCCAGTACATGTTACTTCCATATAATTATAACAAAATATGGTTTAGTGACATATTAGTTTAGCAGGTTAACTGATCGGCATCAAAATCATAGGCAATCGTGACTAATAAACTACAGATAAATATTTTTTCACAAAGAAATATGATTTTTATAAACATCAGCTGACGAGATCAGACCCTGCAGATATTAATTATGACAGTAATCACAGGTCGCTGCTCTGAGCTCTGATTATACAGGCTCATGCAGCAGGTTTCTGATGGTTCTGATTGAATTTGGCCCACAGGCAGCAGGCAATGACTCTTACCTTTGGAGCTTTTTAATCTGTTCAGCCAGACTCTGTTTCTCACTGTTCAGCAGGCTGATCTGATATTCCAGCTCCTGAACCACTTCTTCTTGCTGCTGCTGCTGTGGATAACATTGAAATTACTTAAAAGTTGGCATATTTTTGACCAGAGAAACCCAAGACCACTCTAAATCACATTTTAGACCCTAGAGCAGCATGTTTAATCAAAAATCCCTTTTGAATAGATATTTGACATGGGGTTACTAGGATTTGGCCAGTAAGAGCCATGTAAATGCATTAACCTGACGGCCTTAATCTGATTAAACCAATATTCCAGGTTCTAGGAAAGTGACTAAAATAAGTTATCATATGCCATTAATCAGAATTTTATTTCAGAATAAAGGCTTAAACAGAACATGGACCTTAATTAGAAAACTATGTTTATGTAAACATGTAAACAGTTCTTCCTATATGTAAATACCTGTATAGCCTCAGTTTGCTGCACAGGTTCCTGGGTAAAATAGTCTCCTGGCAAGTCATTTGGATCCACATTGACCGCCACATCCACGGTATCCCGATGCAACTGCAGGCTGTTCCCGCAGTTCCTGTAGAGCTGCAATAGGTCTGGAGGTTTGGGAATGTTTAGACCCACATCATCCCACAACTCAAAATCCTGCAGATATAAAATATCATGAGTACCAGGAAGAAATAAAATACTAAATTGAATAATTAATGTATAAAAGGAATTCATAAAATATTACCTGATCATCATTTTCATCAGAGAATGTGATGGACGTTAACTTATATTCATTTTTCAATAAATACTCATTAACTAAAAAATTTAAGGCTCTCTTTTCAAGAGGGCGAATAGGTTCCTGAAAAAAATTATTGGAAAAAATTAAGTTCACGTAGATTGATTCAAACTAATTGTTCATAATGAGCTTATTAGAGGGAGAGAGAAAAAAAATGAAAAGTAGGGTAACCTGAATTTCAGGACTGGATTTGTAGTTTTTTCTCTCTTGAGAAGGAATCTCACATTCTACACAGAGAGAAAGAAAGAAAGAAACAGAGAGAAAAACGAGTGAGCTGGAATTTGATTTATGGTGGACATTACAAACTGCCTTTAGGAATGAGAGCAGCTCCTATAGCAGAAGGAACTGAAGTGTGTAAAAGTTGAAAGTACGCCACCTGCAGCCTGAGTCAAGTTGGCACGAAGAGCCTGAATGGTCTCCTTGGCTTTCCGCAGTTCAAACTCCAGAACTGGACCAGGGGGAAGTGGGTCACACACAAACAGGCATCCAACCAAGAGAAGGGAACAAAGAAACAAAACAAAAGGGGGAAAAAAAGAACAAAGGATGGCCATGAAAAAACAAAATCAAAAAAAGAAAAAAAAGAAAAGAAAAACGACAACTTTTGTAAGAAGCTGAGGCAGAACCAAAACAGGGACATGCACACTATGGATCTAATGAACACATGCAGCAGAGGTGGCTGGAGGAGCTGCCAGATCATGAAAATATTTACACATTTATTTTCCTTCGGGTTTTCTTTTCTCGCAAATTCACTGGCTGCTGTCTGACCAGGGATTTAGAGAAAATCAAAGTCTGTTTGTTTGTTTGGATGAACGGTAAAAAAAAAAAAAAAAATCTTTCACAATTTTTTTGAAGCTCCTTTAGATCTTCAAATTCCTTTTGACTTTAAAGCTGAAGTGTGTAATTTCTGTGCCTCTAGCGTCATCAAAGAGTTGCAAATTATATGGCCTGTCCTAAATAGTGCACTTTAAGTTCATTTGCCATCTAGCAGCAATCGCTTACATGTGTCCATAAAGTTCACATGACCATAGGGAGTCCTGTTTGTCATTTTGGGCTGCAAAATTGTGCGCCAACTTCAAGTCTACATTAGCAGACAACAAAGTGTAAACCGTGCCATTTGGGATGGGCCTAATCATCGTCAAAAGTACCAACTTTGGTACCAGTCGGTACTGAAATTTAAAGTGCCCCTATTATGCCATTTTTACGGTTCCTAATATAGTTTTGGGAGTCTCCTACAATAGGATTACATGCATGCAAGGTCAAAAAACGCTTTAGTTTTCTCAAAATATGCATTTAATATCACCTCATTTTCCAGCGATTCTTCAAACGATTCGTTCGAAGCAGTTCAAAGATTCAGTCTCTCTAAACCCCTCCTTTCCGTGAGCCTGCTCTGCTCTGATACGCCTATTTCAATAGTTCTGTATTTTGAACGCTCTATAGAAAATATAAACATCTATTATTTATCATACTTACAGGTTGTGATTCAGTGGAACAGCTGGTCCAAATAAACAGGACTATGATCCATCTTTCAACAGCAAGCGTTTTGTGAATCCCGCATTGAACTCGCCGAGATTAGAGAAGCAGTTGTCAGTAGAATGACGTGTTTGTGGGCAGGGTCAAGTTGTTTGCGTAGAAAGTTTGCCAACGTAGAACATAGGCGCGCATTATGCAAATGTGTTATCCCATGACGTGTAGCCGTCACGGAAGTGGAATTCGAATTACTAACGGCTCATTTCAGCTGTTCAGAGTCTATTCTTTATTTTGGGAGACAATAACTTTATTTATCGTGCACTTTCAGCTTTACAACTTTGCAGATCGTTTACATTCACATTAGGGATGTCAACGATTAATCGATGGTCGATTAAGCTGTTTAATTTTGGGCTGCGTGCGGCTCATGCGCAAAACACGTGCGAGCGGCTGTGAATGACGGTGACGGTATATTAATGCATCATCATTCATTCATAATGTACAAATTAAGCTTTTAATGTGCGACGATCGATCATGGAAATGATCGAAAATTGACATCCCTAATTCACATACAGCAGCATTACACACTACATGAAAGGCAATATTGGAAATGGCATAATAGGGGCACTTTAAAAAATGTCCATTTCCCGCTACCATTTGAGTGGATTCTTAACACCGCTGATTTGACCGCTCATTTTTTAAAATTTCAGTACCGACTGGTACCAAAGTCGGTACTTTTGACAACACTAGAAACAGTTTACCCCACCCCTAACTCACGTCATTGGCTAGACCAATGTTGACGTGTCAGATCATTCGGGATGCAGAGAAATGTTTTGACAGCACCATAGAGACTTTTCATGGGAATCAATATTTGAATGGCTTACGAGCGTCTTTGAATACTAAGCTGTAATATGAGAAAGTAATTTGAAACGGACAAAAAAAAACTACACACTTCTGTTTAAATAAAACTAAATGGTCTACAAAAAGCTTTTCAGTTAACAATCCCAAATATATACAAACGCAAATCCTAAATACACCAAAATCTAAATCTACCTGTTGTTTGCATTTGATCTTTGTTGTAAAACAGTTGTTCAATTGGAAAAGGATTTACTAGTGTATGCGAAACCCCGCAGCAATCCTGCTACTGTGGACCTGCTAGACGAGTTCTAACACAGGCTGTGTCTCATTTCCGCTCGCTAATTTCTAAAACGGGAATCAGCGTACTGTGAAGACCAAATCAGCTGATTCTCACCGATTTTTAGGATGCAATTCTAAGAAGCAAACATTTCAGTGTACTGGAACAACTGCGATCATAGGACAGCCCTAGAAATCCTTGGGCAGTGTATGAACTAGGGAACGGATTGAGACACACCGAGAGACACCGGGAAACAGAAGCATGGAGAGCACAGCACACTTTGCATGACTGTGCACTGATGATCAGCAGGTGGGACTCCCACAAGCTCTGCTTCCTAAAATGTTTTCTGGAACACCATCTACCCGAACAGGGTCAGATAAAGAAGGAAGGAAAAAAAATTAAGATGAATTCAAACACAAGAGAAAGAAATAAAAAAAATAAAAAAAACTCAAAATGGGGGGAAAAAAGGAAAAAGCTAAGAGAAAGCAGAGCTCAAATGGGACAAAGACACTTATGCTGCTGATCAACTCAGCACAGGATGCAAGTTTAACAAATGGAAAAATGTACGAACAAGCAAAAAAAAAAAAAGAAGTGGCAAAGGTGTGCTTGCCTGGTTGGTTTGTGGTCCAGTATTGGAAAGAGAAATACTGGAATAGAGACCCATCAGACAGCCAATAAACCCCAGGTCAGACAGTCAGGGCTGTGCTCATCGCTGAAGGGGTCAAGATTTGGGAGCAGATGCCCAATTTGGGGTGCAAAAGTGACATTTTGTACAAAGCAATCTTATTCTGCTGCATGGTTCCTTAGGCTTTCTACTTACCCATAATTAACTTTCAACAAAATCACACTTATAAGAAGCACAGAAAACCTTAAAGCGCATGAAAAATACCCATTACCTAAAATCAATTAGATATATTTATAATTTTTATTTGCTCTTATTTACTTTAATGTTTATTTATTACACTATAGGCCTCACCAAGTCTAAAGTGACAAAGTCACATATTTACAAACAATTTTATGTAATATTTAACAACTTTAACTACAACTAAAAATGTTCATTTTCTGAAAATCTAATGAATAAATAAAATATAAAATAAAAATGAATACAGATCAATTATGAGAATAAAAATAAAAATTAAATTAAAAAATACAAGAAAAAAAAGATTTGATATAAAAGAAATAAAATAAAATAAGCTCATACATTAAAATTGCTTTGTTTTATTCAAAGCTTTAAAATACAGCCTTGGTGTGAACAGACCTTAATACTACTATCAGAAAAAGTTCATTTAAAAAGATCGCAAGCAAAATATATCCCTGGATAGCAGAAATGCTGATACTTTGTAAACAATTCATTGACTTCACTGTTAAACCAGTAGCCAACAAATATTTGTGGACAGCTAAGCTCTGAGGAGTTTTTGTTTATGTTGGGAGAGGGTAGGAGATGTGAATTTTCACAGGAATTATTAGTAACAACACTTTCGGTCTGAAAAATATCTGCCAGGATAATGTAGGAATCTGAAGCTTGGGAGGGACTCAAGCTAATGAAACAGAAAAAGCTCAAGGAACAGTATGGCAACCTAGCCAACCAAGTATCAAAATAGGGAAATGACAAGAGAGGAAACTTGAGAGCCAGAAACCTTTTGCTTGGAAAGAAATGGGAAAGCAAAATAGTTACTGTCAGTACAGCCCAATTAAGACCGAAAAGTTTAGCGTTCAGGCTATTAGTTAACCCTCCCACTCGTCTATAGAGACCACTCATCTACGAGACCGCTGATGAAAGCGGTCAGTGAACCATACAGTTTGACCCATGTGAATTCACATCAAATCATGAATGCCAAGAATCTTGTGTCATATACGGTAACACTGACCAAATCGCCTCTCATAAAAGAGTTTAACACAAGCCACTGAACCACTAATAGTTTCCAGAAAAATGTCCAGTAAAGCCAATTCCTTCTCATTTTGCCTAAAAAATGGCCATGTACTGTAACTGCTGAATTGTGTTCTTGGAAATTCAGGGCATTAACAAATAGAAAATTTGCCTATTGTCAATTGTGGTCTAATATGATGATAAGTGCATGCAAAATGTTTAAAATTAAACGGACTAAAGATTTCCACTATTAAAAGTATCGTATGACACGAAGTTGGAATTCAAGAACACTTACGTGTTTAAAACCAACCACATGACCAGTCACTGTGGCTGAGGAAAATGTATTTAACTAGCAGCCAACTGTCCCATCGTAGTATGCGAAGCACACCGCAAACAAATCTGATATGATTTTCAAATATGATCATTAGGACTGAGTGCTCACGCTGTAGTCATTAATTCTATATATAGATAGATATGACAGCAGGATTTTCCTTACCTGCCACTCTTTCGTCTGACTCCCTGTTGCCATCATCTGAATAACGGGCGAAATCCAAAGAGTCCAATGTACTGATGCTGCCAGCTCGATCTGGAAACAAACAACCAAACCAAAAATGGATGTTAAATTCAGTGGTTCCCAACTTCCCACCCATCTTAAAGGGTTTCATATTCTACCCACACCCTTATTAGATAGAACACTAAACTAGCATTTACAGAAAGTAAAGTGGTGACATTTTGATTTGTTTCGGCAAACTAAAGCAGTCAGCAGTTATAGAGAATAGGCTCTACGTAGGCCAAAACTTTCCAGAAGCACAGATCTCTCCATCTGTCTGCACTGCTGGAGGGAAGATAGAAAAATATTGCCAACGTCAAGCCCCTACATGGACTCCCCTATTTCTGCGCACCAGTGATTGTAGTGTGTTGTGTACACTGGCATGGTAACATTATTCAGCAACAAACCACGTTTATTTATTTTTGTGATTTTAGATGAATGACCATATAATAATAGTGTTCAGAAACTAAACTATGTATTACAGA